GGCAGCGTCCTGCCCAGCGCCATCCACTTCCACATGTCAACGGAAGAAGTGAGTGGGCCTCGGCCTTCCTTCCACTTACTCTTCCCGATAAACCACCTGAGGACCAGAGTCCATGTGGGACAGACAGGGTTATTTCCACTCTAGCTGTGGGATGTTTCATGCGTCTTTCTGCAAATGTCCATTTATCTCCCCGTCGTCCTTCTGAGGATGCCAAGTGGGTGCTGGCTGGGAAAAGCCTTCGGGACCCCACCAGGCTCGCGGCTGGCAGAGCTGGTTTTCCAAAGGCCACCTCTAACCCAGAGCACAACAGGATATGCTGTTTCCAGCCTATATCCTAGTCAGATCCCAGTTTTTCCTTTGCCTGGGGCAGCTTGTTCCCTGTAGAAGAGCTTGTGAGGGCTTATTTATCTTCTCTTGAGCTAAAGCATCCTTGTCCAAAGGATTGACCGTGATGTCCGCAGGTGGAGTGGTTCAACCGGTATAAAAAATCTTTGGCCACCTACATGAGGTCAGTGGGAGGAGAGGAGGGGCTGGACCTTACCCAGGACATAAAGCCTCCGAAAAGCCTGTACATCGAAGTAAGTGAAAGATTGCTGGTTCTGTTTGTGGGGGAAACAGCCAAGCACTTGAAGGAGCAGCTTTCTTTAGAGATCTTTACTTCCCGCCATGCTGTAAGGCTCCCTGAGCTGGAGAACTGAAGCATCCTCACTTTACCCTAAAACACACTGCCCACCAGTGTTTCACTCTTTCTTTTCTGAGCCCCCAAGCGTGCTGAAATGCCGCATTCCCAGGCTGCAGGGAATCGGTGTGGGGGTCAGGCCTGAACTATGGGGAAAACTTTATGGCATTTATTAGCAAATGCTAGTGTTGTCTCCCAAGAGCTCTTGGAGCAAGCTCCCCTGTTAAAGATCAATAACTAGTTATCTTTTTTGTTGTTTTAAATGGATGTTCGTAAATATTTACAGTTGGCAGTGATGTGCTAACGCTCTGCCCCTTGGCTTTGCAGGTGCGCTGTTTAAAAGACTACGGCGAGTTTGAGATCGACGATGTCCCCACGGTCCTGCGGAAGAAGAACAGCCAGGTAGCAGGGGCAGGGGAGTGGGACGCTAAACCCTTTGCTGCCCCTTGGCTTCGTGGATGTTGCCGTGCCCGTGGTGGCTCCGCGCGGGGACGCGGAGCAGCAGCGCTGGCTGCAGCCGTGCGGTGTTGGGGACCCCTTGTCTGTGCTTGTGTGCAGCACTTCTTACCTCGCTGGAAGTGCGAGCAGTTGATCCGGCAAGGCGTCCTGGAGCACGTCCTGTCGTAAGCGCCGCGGAGCGGAGGGACAGCCCTTCCCCGCGCGCAGGGCTCGGCCGCATCCCGTCCTGCTCCTCCCAACAGCCCTCGATACCCGGCACGACGCCCAACGTGCCTTGATGGGCTCCATGAGCCCCGCGGGGCGCCCGTACTGGTAACGCGGCAGCTGGGGCTCTGGTACCGCGCACTGCAGCTACCGCTGGGTTTTGAGGGGGTCTTTCTGTTTGAAGCGATGCTTTATTCACAAAAGCTGGGGAGCTTCAGGGCTCTGAAATAAAGAACTGCCTTCGGTTTGATAGTGTCCAGCCTCTGCTCTGCCACCCCAACCCACTCCGGCCTCTCCTGGGGCCTCTGCAGTCCCCCCCAATCTCGGGGGCCCTTTCCCAGTGTCCGTGCGCCCTGCGCAGAGCGAGGCAGGGACACGGTGACATCTCCCTGCACAGAGCAGGGCCCTGGCAGGTTGGTCCAGCTGGTTCTTGTCCATGCAGACACTTGGTTCTGCAGCCTTTAGACTACTCCTCTAGGCAGGAGCTGCGCAGGGAGCCGCATTCGTTGCTGCTGCGCGAAGGGCAGCAGGAGGTGCTGCCAGCACTGCCAACCTTTCCATGCCACAGAACGCCTTTCCTGCTTGGATTCGCTCCGATGTGGGAACCTCCAGCCTGGGTTCCTGGCAGCAGCTCCCATCCCAACCACCACCAAACACCCCGTCAGGTGCTGCTGGGACAGACCCCCAGGCAGCCCTGCAGCGTTGCCACCACAAAAGCCCTCAACCCTGGTGCTTTCAGCAACAGAAGGAATTTTACTACCCACAGGTCCCTTTTGCTTGAGGACTGTCTGGTTTCTCCACTTTCTACCAGAACCCCATGCCACACTCAGGGAGGAAAGGGCCGTTTCCCCAGCCCCCTGGTGCAGGCGCCATCCCGTCCCGTCACCTGCTCAGCGACGCTGGGGCCGTCCCCTCCCGTCACACGCTCAGCGACGCTGGGGCCATCCCGTCCCGTCACACGCTCAGCGACGCTGGGGCCATTTCTTCGACGAGCTGCTTCAGGGCTGAGACCTGTCCCTCCAGGGCCCGGTTCTTGTCCTCCGTGCGCTTCTGCTGCAGCCGGACGGCGCGCAGGGCCTGGGCCAGCTCCCGGTGCCCGTCGCGGAGGTGCTCCGTGAGCAGGCGGCTCCGCGCGGTGGCACAGAGCGGGGCCTAGGGGACAGGCGCTCCCTAGCTCAGGGCCCGGCTGCTTTCAGGCAACGCGTAGCCTTTCCTGCTTGTTTCCTACCAAAGGAGCCTACGCTGCTTCCCTCTCACGAGCCTGCCCAGGGAAATGCTGGAAGGGGTGCAGGCTGCCTAGGATGCGGTTTCTGCTCCTGCTTGTTCTAATTCCTTGTGTTACAACACGCTCCATCTTTACCCAGGCTGGTTTGAGGGAATCACAGCGGCTGAATCGCGTCGCTGCATGGTGCAACCCTCTGTGCTGGCTGCCCCTCTGTGCAGGGGGACTAAACTCTCCTTCTGTGGCCCACACTACTACAGCACTGACTGCTGTGGGCCCCTCCTGGGTGAGGTGGGCGCGAGCAGAGAGGGCTCCTATTTTAGCACAGGACCATCCCTGTGCTCACAAAGACTGAAAAGTGCAGCAGGACTTGGAAGAACACGTCCATTCTCCCTGCGGGCCCCTAGTTTGTAGCATCTTCCACCCAAACTCCCATCAGTGCCAGAGCAGAGACCGCCGGGGCTGGCAACTCGCGCGGGGTGCGCGCTG